CAACGTACTGGCACAGACACTAGTACAGACAGTATTACTGTCAGAATATCACTCAAACAAAACCAACTGTTACCATTGACAAAATCAGCACATAGTGCGAACAATCAATACAGAATACACAGGCTCGCTACTAGAAATATCAATCAAACAAAACCAGTCGTTATTACCTTGTTAAGCTATGGTCCGTGGCGGTGCTATTTTTTCTTTATTACGTTGTTACACTATTATTTTTCATTACATTGTTGCGCTATTATGGCAGTATAATCATCTTCTTTGTTATCATGTTGTTACGCTATAGTCCGCGGCGGTGCTATTTTTTCTTTATTACGTTGTTACACTATTACCGTACTGGCCAAGATATTACTTTATTTGTTATAACGTTGTTACACTATTGCCGGTGGTGCCATTATTTTCTTCGTTATTTGTTATTACGTTGTTACGTTATTGCCAGCAGTGCTATTATTTTCTGTGTTATATTACTGACACTGTTTTTACTTCCTTAGTTGTTGTGGTTTTAAATTCCGTGCATGGATAATTTTTTTTTGGTAATTCCCTTAGACGATTTTAAGAAAAAAAACAGAACACTCTTCTACTGAAAGAGAAAATGAAAGGACCGAAATAGGGAAGGAGAAGACAGTAATTATAAAGGAGAGGACTGTAAAATTGTAAAAGTTTACAAGCAAAGAAGAGGAAAGAAGGAAATGGGGAAACGAGAGGACTTAATGCAAAATTAGCCAAAACATACTACTACAAGGGAAAAAGAGTAATCAGGCTATTACACTATTACAAAGTAATAAGGAAAAAAGAAGGAAACACACATCCCATAACGCGCACCATATGCCTTAGTTACATCCCTAAAATTTTATACTACAACCTTAGATTTACCTTGTAGTTACAGATAGTGAAGTCAATAAATTCGATCATTTATTCTTACCCATGTGAGCTTTGAAATGCTTTACAAATTCAATCCCTTCATCTTGCTTTTTCCAAAACTTTATATGACCATCACAGCTTGCTGTAATAAGGAACTCTGTTCTGTAACATACAACATACATGTAATAATAAGCTAAGTAAACATTAAGTTTTCTCTGTTATAGGACTGTTTAGCTTAGTCTTTGCTATACATGTATTTGTTATTCAGTTAAGGGGCTACCGGGAAAATTGTAGCATTATGCATAGTCTGGGTGCCCTGTGATTTTGGGGGGGCCCAGGAGAAGTTGCCATCTTGATCTTATGGCTGAGTTCAGTTTATAATCTAACAACATTTTCAATTTGCTTCAGGCCCAAAATATTACTGGGGCTTTAGAGAAACAGGCCCCTTAAAAGTCTGGACAATCAAGAAGCCTTGTCAAAGAACCCTGGCCAAACTACCACGTACAAAAACCAAAACAGAGTTACAGTTACTGGGTTGTCTCTAGCCTGCATCACAGACGAAATTTACCTGGCTAGTAACGAACATTTGTGAAGTGGTGCACATAGCCTTCCCCTAGACCCCCCAAAAACTGTTATCGGTCTTTTTGTAAAGGTGTTGCTTATAACAGATTATTGGAGGGCTGCCAAAAAATAGTGTCTAATAACCCAGGACTAGTGGATTTTGTTGTCACTCTAGTGAGTTCTGTTCTTAATAACGACAATCAGAAAAGCAATAAATAAACTGACCCAAGGATTATGAACATAATAGTGAGCTTGCAGACATGTAATGACCAAATTGTGTGAAATGACACCCCTACCATGTATGTGTAGTAAACTCAAAATACAGCTCATACACATACATGACTGTACATATAAATCTCAAAGACAGCCAGAATAGTCCTAAACAAATAAACACTTACATGCAGATTACACAGATTTCTCTAGTAAAACTTACACAGTGACCAAAATGTGTGAAATGACATCTCTATGCATGAAACTCTTCTCATATGACTCAGCTGATGGTATGTTGTTCAGGTACACTTTCTCAAACTCTAAAACTGAAATAATAATATTAAGTTTGTTCAAAGTTGTACAATTTTGCATTAATGATTTACATATTATAATTATACGATTATTATTCCATTCATTCAAAATATTTCTTCATTTCTGATAGCAGCTTTTGACATTCGAGTACAGCACTTATGAGAGTTCACAGCCTGCTATAGCCTGGGACTAGGCTCGTCTGCAGTGGGGGGAAAAAGGCATAAAACAAGGTTAAATATGAAAAATATTGACGAGCTAAGGGAGCCCAGTGGTGGCCTGGGGAGGGAAAAAGCGCGGTGGAAACCCCTTACCCTTACCCTAACCCTCCGCCACCCTTTCCCCTCCCCAGACTACCTCGCGATTTGCTTTGCTTCCTGATTTTTTCCTTTTTCCCCAATGTGGAGCTTGGTCCCAGGCTATCACAGCTACGAACTCGCAAAGCATTGAGAGGGTAGGTAAAAATGACAAGAAGTTAAGAAGAAAAGGAAATAAGGCAATAGGGAAAAGAAAATTTATAAATATTTAAAATATATGATACATAAAGAAACAAAACAAAACTACAAAAACAATAAAAGAAAGAAAATGAAAGAAAGAAAAGAAGAGAAAAAGAAAAATAAGATCTGCCTTGAATTGAACTGCCTGGAATCAAACTCAGCACCTCCTACTACGCCAATTTGTTACCACTACGTCTCGTGGAGACATATGACTTAAATGGTGATAATATTTGATTTAATTATATGAACTTTTGTGTTGCCTAGCATGTGACTGCAATTACCATGATGAAAAATTGTGTGATGTTTCAAAAGCAGATTGTATTGCACAAGACTGTATACTGTTTTCAAAGCTCTTGGAGGTTTCTGAAGTTTTCTTAAGCTTTACCTGTATATTTAAATCAAAACGTTTATGTATGCTACATTTCACATCTCAAAAAAGCGAAGCAGTGAAATGTCAAACAGAGACGCTATTGCATATGGCAAAAACAGCAATTCAGGTCAAGTGGTCAAATTACAAGTAAAGTTTCCAGCAGAAAAAAACACCCTGAATGTAGACACTGATGACCAGCAATTCAACTGCCGATGGACATTCACAAACATGCAGTCAAAAACAAATTGTCAAGTAGAATTTGGAATACAAGCCAAAGAACAAAAGCAATGAGGCATTTGTTTACACACCGGCATATATTAAACTAACATTTATTTACACAAACTTCCTTTTATTTTGGATTTGACAGATAAAAGGTCATGGATTGCTTTTTCTAGTTCAACTAGTAAACTGCCGATATTTGAACATTTTTATTAACTTTAATTGTTTTGATGCAAAGTATCAGCTAAGCCGTGCAAAAGAACGCAAATTTCCCAAAGAGTTGTCAACTGCTCCTATATCTTGAATTTACATAGTTCAGGAATTTCTCACAAGAATTAAATGCTGAGTAGAGTTAAATTGTTATTTTATAGACCAGTAGAAAGTTTTCTCTGACGTGAGAGAAGTTAAAAGATTACTCAAAACTTAGTATCCCAGTAAGTTTATGTGTTTGTTCTTCACTCGTTCTATTACCGGTACGTACATGTATTGTGAAGTCATGCAACAATTATTAATGTTTAGAATTGAAACCCTGTTTCAGTCTTCACCGAATCGTGTAGACACTGTTAAGCATTTTGTTGCCGCTGTTGTAACAACAATAAACCAGGAACAATATGTTAGCTCATGCATACTAATCAGTTCTGATACAAGGCCGTTTTTCAAGCTTGTTAAGTAAATGGACTCGCGTTAAACAATTTTTTGCAAACTAGTTTGAAGCACGTTAACATGGACACTTATCTTTGAGCTGTACTGTACATTATCTGTACCTCTTGAATTAAATACACCATGCCACGTATTAGTGAGTGACAAGCATTTTCTAGCACTTTCTAGGTCGTCGTCTTCTAGGTCAACACTTTCTTGGTGATCACTTTCCAGGTCATTGTTTTCAAGGTCGTCATTTTCTAGGTCAACATTTTCTTGGTCGTTGTTTTCCAGGATGTCGTTTTCTAGTTTGTTGTTTTCTATATTAGGTCATCATTTTTAACTAAGGAACGTAGGTCTTCATTCTTTAGGTCGTTGTTTCTAAACACCTAAAACGTTCACAGGTTCTTACACCGAGGTGAACCCCTTCCAATACACTTCCTAACTGGAAATACATGTATCTGTATCGCAGAGCCTCGCTGCTAATAAATAAATTTTACTGAAAGGAAATGTATCACATTCACCATCCACTCGCATTGCATGCGTATCGCGCAATTACAAAGCCTTTTCTAGCAACTTACATTACTGTTATGGTCTCATTACTGGAGTATTCACTTTCACGACTTAAATAAGATGTGAGTATCTTGGACAACTCTAGCTTTTGTCACGCCACGACGGCGCGCGCGAATCAGATGCGGATGTGTATCCAGTGCAATCAAAGGACCAAAAATTAATCAAAATACACGTTACCTCTCTTCTTTTTTTGCTTAGGAGGAGGAGGAGGCATAGGACCGATAACTTCATCATCTTCATCATCCTGTCGGCTATCATCTTCATTCAGAGCACGCTTTCTGTCTCGGTTACTGTTCGCTTCGTCCGCCATTTTGAATTTGAGATACACTAGTGACTTGTACTGGTCAGAGGTTTTGACCCTGTAAATTATGCGCAGTCAGATCTCATTGGAGCCTTTGAGTTATGTAAATCAGCGACTGAATGTCTGAAAATTTGCTTCTCACCTTAGTGTTGTGGTAGAGCGTTGGCGGAGGTTAAATAAGCTTAGTTGTATTTACCTTGCTACATTCAATTGAGCGCTCAAAACGGTTTGATGCGTCATGACATGTTGCTGCTCGGATTTGGTTTAGGTGGAAGAAACTTGAGCTTATGTCGATGAAAGACATACCGTGCATCATCAGAGGAGTGTGGCCGGCCAGGGCTTGTAATTACGACGGATCAGCCATGCTCTTGACTGGTTAGCTGCGTATTATGCTTTATAAAGAAAGGAAAGAATGAGTTTTATGATTTGAGTAACTCTCAGAAGGGCTATGGAAGGGCTTGATACCTCCTCAGCGGCTTACCGCACGGAGAGCGAGGGTAGTACAACCAGCGATGACCGAGAATCACTTCGTGCTCATTTGGAGCGAGAATCGCTCGGACATCTAAGCGCACTGTTTCCCGACGATATGTCGCTTAACTACTTTCAAAGTCTCTGCGAGGACGATTTGGAACACGATTACAATGTCAAGGATGACAAGGAAAGAGAACTCCTGATGCACTCTATTTTAAAACTACGGGAGGATTTTTTGGCAGACGAGGTAACCTACAGCTATTAAACTTACATAGTAAAGCGTAACGGTGCATGACCGTCTCTTTAAGTGTCCGTAGTTTTTTTAATATGATTTGATCAAATAATCTTGGTTTATGTGCTGAGTGAAAGGCATTTTATTCTTCCTATATGGCAAGCATTTTTAAATTTTCCCTAGGTCGGCAACATATAGGATGCAATAAAAAGGAACTTCGAAAATTTCATTGTCAACGCGTTGTGCCTCGAGTGTGTTTTAAAAAGATGATGTCTCCTTGTTCTTCGTTTATAAATCTTTACAGGCTGATGTGTTATCTTTTCGGTAAACCTTTCAGCGTGAAAGCACTGGTGCTGAACTTTTGTCGCAGTTTTTTTTTTCAAGTTATAGTCCTTTGAATTTCAACTCCCGTATGGTTCAAAATGTAAATATATAGGTTGGCTTAAGCTTTACGTAAGCTTGTATAAGCTCCACAGACTGAAAATTTATTGAGGTAACGATCAAACCTTAACTGACCCAGTTCATCATAAGAGTCGCGAGTTTAATTCTGTGTTGCGCTAGGTATTTGGCACAACTCCTCTAATTAATTCTTAGAACACTTGATCTTATCCAGATATTTTAGGCTGTGTTATTTCCTTTAGTTAATTCCGATGGGAGTTTCCTGTCAGCCCAGAATTAACTTTTGTTGTGATCTATTCAGCGCTGTTTTGCATGTTTATTTTGTTGACGCCTTTCAGGATAATATGATGTTGTACTTTTCGCGAGGTCTAAATTGTAAACATTCATGTGCGCGAGAACCGCGGGTATAGTTACAACAGTAGGTCACTGTTAAACAGTGTAGAATCTAATACTAGAAGCAAGACATGAATTCATAAAACGTAATTGTAGCTTGCAATAAAGGCTCTATAAGGAATGAAATTATATAGATTTTAGCATCTTGTTTTCAGTATACTTTACGGTGTACATGTACTATGTGTAAACTGCACAATTTACTGCTTTGAGATGGAGTATCATTGTGCTCACTTGTATGTAAACATAAACACCACATCAACAATATCTTCATTTTTGAAAAAATAAATGGTTGTCTGCTGTTGGAATGCTTGTTTTGTGTTGTAAAAGTGCCCAAAGTTCAGTTTAACATTGGGAAAAAATGGGTCAAGATAGTAGAAGGTGAACGGTTTAGCTGAATTGAATGATCACACAATGGCCTTTTATTTAAGTGAAAAGCTATTGCTATTACTACTATTGCTGGATAAATTTATCTGTGTTTTCCAGGCTAATGCTAAACCTTAGAGGGTTTGTTGAATGTTTTAGTAAACATCAAATCATTTGGTTACTTGTGTAAATAATTTTTAAACAAATTATCATTGGAAAAATAACACTCAAGCAATGCAGCATTTTTTTTTGCTAAAAGTAAGTTATTGTTGTTGTTGTTACCTTTTACCTACGCTTAAAAGAGGCAGCTCTTTCAATCTGAAACTGCGTGTCTAGGTAGTGTGTAAAGTAAATTTTGCAACTGTGAGGTTTTTTCCTTCTCAGGTTAATCTAGTTGGATTTAGTTATCCTTTGAAAAAAATATGGACCATACACTGTAGGTGATAGGTAATAATTAATTTGTAAACATGGATTTTGTTTATCGCAGAAACAGCCCTCTATTTCAAGAGCCAGTATTTAGGGACATAATGCAAATAATATTATAAACACTAACAGCATACCTGGAAGAACTATGTAACGATAATTTTGTTATTTATATTTGTAAAAGTGCCCAAAGTTCAGTTTAACATTGGGAAAAAATGGGTCAAGATAGTAGAAGGTGAACGGTTTAGCTGAATTGAATGATCACACAATGGCCTTTTATTTAAGTGATTGTTTTCCAGGCTAATGCTAAACCTTAAAGGGTTTGTTGAATGTTTTAGTAAACATCAAATCATTTGGTTACTTGTGTAAATAATTTTTAAACAAATTATCATTCGAAAAATAACAACTCAAGATATGCAGCATTTTTTTTTGCTAAAAGTAAGTTATTGTTGTTGTTGTTACCTTTTACCTACGCTTAAAAGAGGCAGCTCTTTCAATTTGAAACTGCGTGTCTAGGTAGTGTGTAAAGTAAATTTTGTAACTGTGAGAAGGTTTTTTCCCTCTCAGGTTAATCTAGTTGGATTTAGTTATCCTTTGAAAAAAATATGGACCATACACTGTAGGTGATAGGTAATAATTAATTTGTAAACATTGATTTTGTTTGTCGCAGAAACAGCCCTCTATTTCAAGAGCCAGTATTTAGGGACATAATGCAAATAATATTATAAACACTAACAGCATACCTGGAAGAACTATGTAACGATAATTTTGTTATTTATATGCTAATACATTATTTAGAACTGTCAAATTTATTGATCTCATAAACCCCCTTGGAACTATCAAATTGTATCTGTAAGAATCTACAATTCTTCTACAATTTGTTAGAATAGGTGGTTGATATTCATGATTAACATGCAAAGATACAGGTAGAAGTTTTTGGTAATTGAGAAGTATAATATTGTTTGATCATGGCCCAATTGGCAAGGGTAGACAGTGCATTGCATTCCTTTCACAGGAATAAGCTCTCACTAGACATAATGTACATAGTACTAACTACAGCTGTATTTGCAAATATGTTTTGACTTTTTATGACCTATATAACTGAATTATCAACTGCATTTTTCTATTTTTTCTCCCAAATTCAGTCTGATTCTGAACTAGACACCAGTACTGACTTGAATGCAGAGGTTTTCTCATCTTTGCCACGTAGTTTCAAGTTCAACCGGTCAAGGTTCTCAGATGAATTTGCGGATGGAAGAGCAAAGAGGAGGGAGAGCTTTGGTTTTCCATCAACAAGACTTGATGAGTCATCAAATTTACTACGCATGAGGGCAAATCCATCATTGGGAAGCTCTGAACCTAACCTCTCTGGAAGCTGTGTAAGTAATAATTTGTCATAAAAAAATTAACAGAATTAATCTCATTACACTTGTTCATAATTTTGTCTAGTGGACAGAAGTTAATGGGAAACAGTCAACTCTCTTTATAACGTATACTCAGGGTGCAAAGAAAGTAAGTTTTACAGCTTACCATTCGGGCAAGCTGTAGCTAGCATGTACTAGCCCGAAAAAAATTTGATGAGCAGGATTGATTATAGTTCTTCTGTTATTTGAATTCCTAAAACAATATCACTTGCCCGATGGGCAAGTTAAAAACAGAATTCACGAGCCCGATAGCAAAATCCACTAGCCCCGGGCTATTGGACACTTCTTTCTTTGCACGCTGGATACTGCTTTGATAGGCACTGTGTCCATGTTAGAAAGTTGTCTGCCTTAATAGAGAGTCTACGAAAATGAGCGATGAATGACAGGAATTAACTCCAAGTGACTGTATTCTATAGATGTTCCTTTTAAATAGCAGTAAAAGAGTGCCAGTGGTATTTCACTTGTAGTAAGTTACAACAAAAGTGTTAAAGGCAAACAAGAGGGAAAACAACAGCAGTAAACAAAAAAGAATGCCAAGAGAAAAATCGAAAGGAAAGGAATAAAAAACATAAGGAGTATTAGGAAGTTGCTTGTGAAACAGGCTTTTATGGTGTTACAAAGAAATAAGACCAAAGGGAAAATTAAACATTATGCTGTTACAAGGTAATAAGACAAAACGAAAATATGCTTATCTTAATATAAGTTCCCATGTAAACAGGCTATTATGCTGTGACCAAGTGATAAGGCAACAATAAGTGTATCTTGTGGAATTGTGCTCCTTTTGAACCTATTCCTTGCTTCTTCTTATTACTGTTCTTCTTTGTCCTCTTTTTTCAGGATACTAAAATTATTTTTTCTTCTTATTTTAGAATGACATAAGCCGGAGACCAAGGTACGTTACCAAGACAATATTCATGTAATACTCATGCACATGCACAGGCGCCTATTCTTCAGTGTGGTTGGTTACAATATTATCTTAACGTTTAAAAAGCATAATTTTACAGATCAGCTAGTCTCTTGAATCTGCACCTCATAGACACTCGGAGGCAGATTTAAACTTGATACCTTTTGTTAAAAAAACTTCATTGTCTAATTGCTGTTGTTTTAGACAGTTATGATTTAAAATGAATATTCAGGAATTTTTATCCATCATTCGATCTTAACTATCGTTTACATGATATTTTCGATGTCTGTTATCCTGAGGGCTTGTACATGTTATTGTTCAGTCAATGAAAGGAATGCAGCCTTTCCAATTTTTTGGGAAGCAATATTCTTTTCAATGTTGAACAAAAATCTTCTCAATCTTCATAGTTTGGAGATCCTCATTGCCTTCCAAAGCTGACACTGTGTAATGCATCTTCCAGAAGTGCGTCACACTTAGCAACATAGTCATGTATCAAAATCCGAGGGGGGCTTTAATTAGAGAGGTCATTTAGCATTTTTTAGGCCTCCACAAGAATTTTACACAGCATTGATTCAAAACGGCGGGCAAGAAGGTCTAACATGGCTGTATTGTCAAAAAACAGTTGATTTTGAGAAGAATAGATGGTTTTCACAGTGATGTTGTCAAATTGTAAAGTCAAAATAGCAAGGTGTTCAAATTCTTATTTATACTAGGTTGAATATAAAAAAAATAAATAAATCTTTGTATAAGTTTCCAGTCCCATAGGATGTTTCATTGCGATAATACAGCAATTTGAATTTCCAGGTATGTGACAGTATGTGACACCAAAATAGGAATGCTGTCTCATTGAAAAAAAGTCTATCCTCTTGATTTTCAGGAGTATAACCATTTCAAGTATTAGAAGATATGTTTATGCGCATTTATGCTAGTTGTCGAGTGAAAAGAAAGAGCCTTTATAGAAAAAGGGAACTACATATGTTTTTGTTGATTTCTGGC